GTAAAATGTGTCACAACATATTGCTATGAATTAAACATTGTGGTGCTGCAGACATGCCTTAGCCTACAAATCATATTCAAGATGTGGTACAGACCTCAGCAAAATCATCATCATCATCATCATCACTGTTTTATGCAAATGTGGCACAAAGGTTGACTTAGACTCAAGAATAAACTGATTAGATTTTGGTAGTCAAGGGTCAGGGTCACTGTGACCTTTTATCCATCTCATTTTCATGAATGTGATATCTCAAGAATGCCTTCAGGGAATTTCCTCAAATTTGGCACAAACTCCTCCGACTTAACCATGAACTGCTTGGAGTTTGTTGGTCGAAGGTCAAAGGTCCAAAACCGAAAGAATTCAGACACTAATTGCAACAAAATTTCACACAGATGTCTAATAGGATAAATTAATGAGGTGATGACATTATATATCCAAAAGCTCAAAGGTCAGCGTCCCTCTGACATCATAATGTTCTGCAAAAACACTTTTCTGGCCATTACTCAATGCTATATCTCAGGAACAGAAGGGGAGACACTTGGTAAGATACTGAATTGGTGACTCTAATCCTGGGTGTCCATCTTAAACTGCACTGATTGTATAGATCTGTGCTGCCACGGGGAAGATGTGTATGATGGACCAGTGTTTTCAGAGACATGGATGTAAACTATAACTGCACCTTGACTGGTGCGTGAAGGCAAACAACTGCAAGCCAGTAATTCTAGTCTGTTTTTTGGGGGGGTATTTTGCATCTTGTGCAGCCCTATTTTGAAGTCTGTATTTTGAAACTGAATATGTGTCAACACATCTGTCCCACTTCAAACGCCCAGAGAAGTGTGGCCATCATTCGCCCTAATTCGTGCCAGTTACTTGTTCAATGGTGCGTTCAGGCAGTGCTTGTCACCTCATAAAGTCTGGAAAGTTTACATGGAAATGATAAATGTATCACATAAACTGGACCGATGAAAAAGTAATTGCTGGATGTAAATACTGGAAGTCTGGACATGTTTGTCACTACAGGCTGCTTCAATCCTGAACAAGTATTACGAGAAAAAACGTGATGAAGTGAAATGTCAGCTCACACTTTAAACTTAAGATGGATCAGTCGAGCGTTAACAGTCAAGCATCGGTGAGAGTGTGTGTTTGTTCAGAGTTCAGGATTTTTAAAAAATACTACAACTTGGAAAATTGAATTCACTGTAAGTCTTTTAGCATGATTACTCTACCATTGGTTGTACAAAAGGGTAACAAGTCACTTGCTACATTGCAGTCTACTCCATGGAGGCAGAAATTTATTTCTCTTTCTCTTCTCTGATGAATTTGTCCTTATGTGATCAATCAGTCGTGTAAAGGGCACCTTTGCACATAAATCCTGATGTTTATGGTTGATGGTTTGGATCAAAGTCTGCTGTAGCTGCAGGGAATATATTGATGTGACAATACATTATCTACATTAAACAACAAAATGGGCACAGCATTTCAAGATACACCACTTTTAGGTTTTTTAACAGTGCTAATGACTTTTTCATTTATTTTTTACTCAGTCTTTACACCACGCTGCAGGCTATGGTGAAGCCATTATAGAATTAGTCCATACTGTAGGTCCAGTGGTACAGAAAGACAATGCATATTTGCAGTGAGTCTGTTTCCTGTTCCTTACCGGCATCTTCAGGGACATGGTTATTATCAGTTTCTATAAATTTACAGAAGGTCTTCACACTGCAGTGCACCAGTTCTCCTCAGACAGTTTAGAGAGACTTGTAGCTACTATCTTTACTGCTTTCAGCAGAGCCTCGCTAACCTACGTAAGAGGGACTTTAATCTTAGTGAAAAGCCGTTATGTCTCATTGAGTTCTGAAAAGACTGTCTGAAGGGACATTTTAAAGCTGGCTTCGTACCCAGTTCCACCTTCATGTTCTTTCATGGGACAACATCAAGGTGGCCACTTTGAAAAGCAAACTGCCCAGCACTACTCAAAGGCTCAAAAGGCACCCAGCAGCACGATATGGGTAAGTTGAAAAAGATTCAGCTTTATGCAGATGTCCTCTGACAAACAGGAGCAACAATTTGGTGACAACATCCAGTTCCCTCGTTAAACAGAAAGAGTTGTTTTTCACCCCACTCAGCTATGTAAAAGTACTTCAAACATAAGGACAGTCATGGTCAATGGCTTCCCAATTCTTGATAATATAACTTAAATCAGTTCCTGGAACTTGAATTAGAAAAATGATGCATCAAAGAATGACGCCAGGGAAATAAACTACTTGATTGTGCACCGGCACAGTGGCAAAAAGAAAAAATAACCATTCAGTCAGAGCTGAGCATGCAAGTGACATGCTCAGTGCAGTCAAGCCTGCAAGATAAGATTCTGCATGCTAATAGTACTTCTCCTGATGTGATTGTATACAACCAAACGTGTCAGGGTTATTCATTATTTTGGGGTCAATGCACATCCATCATGCACTGTGAGTCAGTAAGAAAGCATTGTGGTGCAAATGTATTTTTTCTGTTTGAAGTATTGTGGTAAGTAGCTCGTGGTTCATCCTTGTGAAGTGAAAATCTTACTGCATGTTTAAATGTTTTTTGGAAGTTCAGTCTCTTGTCATAATGATTTTTCAATGTAGCACGACTAAATCATTGAACAGCAGAACTTGTGCTGATGGAAACAGTGGACAGCACAAGTTAATATATATATATAGTTATACATAT